AAGTAGAACCTAAAAAGGAGCCAAATTCAAGACTATCAAAATCTTGCCTACATATATAAAACTCTATACTGTGGGTAAATTCTGTTGCTATCAATAAGGATATGGTCCTCAACTAGTACCCTTGGGGACTGATCCAATTCCTACGTTGCTATTTTTTAGAATGAACAAGGAGTATTAATGATTTAGGTGACAACTTCTTGAAACATTACTGTGGCATAAACCTGCTTCCAAGAATCATCGATGTCTCATGTAAATGTCTCCATCCCAGTTTAGGAACACAGCTGCTAAAGACATTTAAAGGAATGACTCAAAAATAGGGGACCCCTGACAGATGATAAACTCCCATGTCATCGTTCACTTCAATATGTTTCATATGGTAAAATACAAATACTAAAACTCAATATGCCTCTTCACAAATCCAAATCATACTGGCAACAATTTGGTTGCCAATATTGTTATACTCTACATCAAAACCCAAAACAGAGCTTTTGTTTGTTTTTTCACATACAGACTAAATGTTAGACATTTAGATCTGAGTGGTGGAGATGCCAGTTATTGATGTAAAACAAATATTTTGCAGCAAATGGCTAATACTTCTCACTAAAGATTGTCATGCAGATGGTTTTTAAGATAAAAAAATTGCAAAAGGCTCTCTATAGAGTAATATTTGCTATAGGTCGGGTTTGGTCATCATATATAAAGGTGGACTTATTAGGTTATGTGTTGGGGCAACCACAAAGTATGTCTAAAGGAAACTAGCTTGATCGCTAGCTACATGCCATATGATACTAACAGGCCAAAAGGAAAAAAAAAAAAGCTCATGGTTGCTAATATCTTTATAGTCAACCACTTAGTAAACACTTTTGAGTACAAACTATGTGCCAAACACTGTAACGGAGTGCACTCTGTATTCTTCTAACTATAAAAGTATCCCTCATCTGAAGCATCTATTGAATAAGTCTCATACAGGAATACTACTACCGAAAGTTCAGAAGTCCTGGGTCTTAACATTGACTGCATTCTAGTAACCTCGCTGGTGATGCATCATTAGTTGAAGGTCTCTTTCAGTCCAACTAATTCTGCCATTTTAAGACCATTTTGTGTTATTCTCTCACCAACTGTTAGAGCATGTGTCAAGAAGTTAAGATCGTCTTGTGTTTAGCTTTCACTAAGATTCTAACACACAGCTGATTATACTTGGAAGATTAGCATTCTTATTGCCAAACTTAAGATTGGTGGTGGTGGGAAAGAAAGTATTAATAGCAAGCACCACGCAGTTATGAGGTCTGGTTTTCATTCACTTTAAACAGCTAAATAGATTTCCTGTAGTGCATTTATTTCCTTCTTTAGTTCATAAAATGACAGTTATGCCACAGACTAAGTTCTTTCATTTATTTATCTAAGCTTAGCTCTAATAATTCAACCTCCTAAATCAGCTCCCAAACACTGACCTGTGATGGCTTGTGGTGAAAAAAAAGCTCACGTAAGGCCAGGCACAGTGGCTCATGCACTTTGGGAAGCTGAGGCAAGGAGGACTGCCTGAGACCAGGTGTTTAAAACAAGTGCGGGCAACATAGATGTTTTCGCTACAAAAAATGAAAAACTAGTCAGGTGTGGTGGAATGCGCCTGTAGTCCCAACTACATGTGAGGCTGAGGTAGAATGATTGCTTGTGCCGTGAGGTCATGGCTGCAGTGAGCCATGATGGTGCCACTGCACTGCAGCCTGGACAAGAGTGAAAACCCCACCCCCACCCCGGGTAGCAGGGAGACAAAAAGAGGTCGTGCAATTTTTTTCATTAAGCTAAACTTGATAGCTAAGTTCTTGAATTTCTAAATCATGGTCGAGCACAGTAGCTCACGCCTGCAATTGCAGCACTTTGGGAGCCCATGGGTTTGAAACCAGCCTGGGCAACTTGGCAAGATGTCAATCTCTACAATAAATCAAAAAATTAGTTGGGCGTGGTGGTGCATGCCTGTAGTCCCAGCTACTTGGAAGGCTGAGGTGGAAGGATCACCTGAGCCCAGCAGGTCAAGGCTGTGGTGGCTATGAGTGTGCCACTGCACTCCAGCCTGGGCGACAGTGAGATGACTCAAAAGAAATTTTCTAAATTATGCCCCTTTTAGTGTCAAAATGTCCTCCACCAAGTATTTATACATACAGTTTATCAATTACTTTGTTTACAGGGCAAAACAAGTTGGTAACTGACGGTCCCAACACTAAAAAAAAAACAAAACAAAACTCTGAAATAGAAATGTTTGGTAGCCGGGCTCGGTGGCTCAGCCTGTAATCCCAGCGCTTTGGGAGGCTGAGGTAAGTGGATTGCCTGAGCCCGCAGGTTCAAGACACACCTGGGCAACTTGGCAAGACCTCATCTCTAAATAAATAAAAAAATTAGCCGGGCATGGTAGCATGCACTTGTAATTCCAGCTACCTGGAAGGCTGAAGTGGAAGGATCGCAGGAGCCCAGCAGGTTGAGGCCGCGGTGGCCGGGAGCGTGCCACTACACTCCAGTCTGGGTGACAGAGTGAGACTCCAACTCAAAAAAAAAAAGAAACGTTTGGTAAATACTGCCTTATCCAAAATGATTGTCAGGTAATCTCTTTCACTTTATTTAGAATATCTCCAGTGGTAGGAGATTCCTGTTTTTTTGGTTTTTCGGAAGTAACCTCATTCATCTTTGGATAATTAAAAACTGCTTTTTAATCTTGACCCAAGTGGTCACAAGCATTCCTTCTTGGAACCACATAGAATAGCTGCCAGTGACAATTCTTTACATATTTAAAGACAATAGGCATTATATGCTACGTGGATGCCCCCTTTTAACCCTTCTCAAAACTAAGTCAAAACTACCATTTCTTTACTAAAATCTGAATCTGGCCATCCTATGACTTCTTTGATTACTATCTTTTAGAAAAAACTGAAAAACTAGTTAACTATGTTTTATCTATAATAATAAATATGAAATATAAAATTTTAAATACTTGAGACTTATATTACATATTTACTTGTGATCAGTGAGTCCGTTAATATAATAAAAAGGGGATGAAGCAGTTAACCCATTGCTTTTCAGCCCATTTCTCCTGTATATTACAGAGGAATTATTTTTTGAAACATTTTCTAAAACCTGTGAGACTCTTAAGAGGTAAATATAAACTGATTACAAATAATAGCTGTTAATTAAAGCAGGATTACTTGGAGGCAGTTTGTCATTTATGCACTTTCACATAAAAACATAATAAACAAGAAACCCTTATAATATTCTATTATTAAAATTTGTAAGCCTTAGGTAGAAAGATATCTGAATTATACAGAAGTGTTCCCACCTACTCCAATTAGTCTAAATTAGTACACTTGCAAAGATATCAGAATTAAATGTCAGAGTCAATAAAATTCACAAAGCCAGAAGCAGTTTAGTGCTCACAAGTTTATATTTTTAGGTTTGATAAAGATTCTTGTGTATTTCCTAAATACACAGACAAAACAGTTTCGGAAGTTTACATACATGTCTTAGGACATTTATATTAGGTAGATAATTTACATTAAAAAAAAGTTGGTCTTCGTAAAAGATCTTCCCAAAGAGCTTTTACAAACAGCAGGCAGAAGAAAGTGTTCTTTTATGTTTACAGTGTTTAAAATGCTGATTCTCCCATTTCATAATGGCCTCAACCATTCTTCTTCTCAACCCCAAATTTTTTCAATATCTAATGTACTCCAAATTTTAAGTACCCAATCTCTTAAAGTGTGCTTATCCCTAACACATTTTAAACTACCTAGAATTGTTCAACTTCACTTGGGATACAGCAGAGAAAAAAATTTTCCATTTCATATCCTAAAGTGACTAAGAGAACGCCTGTTTATTAGTTCTAAGTGTGTATAATATGTACCATAGTTAAGTTTAAGGATCTGGGTGACTGAACGGCACAAAAACTGGGGTTTATATCTAGTTCGTCAGATAAAAACCATCCTTTTAAAAATTAAAATGCCACAGCCGATTAATAGCATGTGCTACACTGAGGTGGTATCATATAATAGTCAAAGTGACAAAACAATTGCTTTTTCAGGAGGAAAAGAGTAGTAGGGGTATTTGTTGCAGGGAAGAAAGACTCAAAATTCCTAACCTAGCTGTTTTATAGGAAAAGTATAAATCCATAGACAGACTCTGTCTATGTAAAGCTGAAATTCTACAAAAGAGTTGTTTAAAGAGGCAGCAACAGGACCTCCTAGAAAGAAGAGGAGCTTCAGAATCAGACCTGATCAAGTCCCAGATCGATCACAGCTGTGTGAAATAAGCCACGTTTCTGAATTTCTCTGAGCCTTTCTTCATCTATAAAATGGAGACGTTAGCACCTACCTTGTAGAGGATTAGATAAAATAACATATACAGCACAATGGCAAGTGTGGGCATTCCAGAAAAATTGGTGCTTTCTGAATTGTTTTTTCAGAAAAATAAATCTAAATCTTTTATGCTATATTCAGTAACTTCTAGAATAGAGCCTACTGAAGTTTTAAAATCTGATTTTAACCCTACTTTCCATCACCACTCCCCCTATTATCCTACTCCAGGCATCTTCAGGCCATCTGTACTATGTTGCATTAATCCAAACTTCCAAGTTCTGACTGCTTCACTTTGTATTTCTCCTCTCTCCTTTCCTCCTATTGTCTAATTTTTTTTCCTCTTGTTCTTATCTATCATTAAAGAACAAAGATGTATTATGTATTTATTATATATCAGTGTTCTAAGCACGGTTACATGAATTAACTCATTTCGCTCGCTCTTCTTCATCAGGATAGGATGGTTCTACCTAAACAAGCTAATGTGTTTTTCTCCCCCCCAAATTTCAAAGCTGCTCATTACTGTTCAGTTTCCCCTTCCTATGTTTCCTTCTTTTCAAGCTTTTAATTGCTAAGGCGCTAAAATTTAGGAAAACATCTGGTAAATAAGAAAAATGAGGGTCAAGAACTATGACAAAGAGGAGGCCATATGGAAGTATCTGTCTCTGAGAACTCTAAGAAATAATACATTGTCTTGATTTATAAGACCTGTTACTAAAGTGGATATGAAAGTTTATACTCTTCCCCTTCATTAAAATTGCAAGCTCTAAAATGCTTTTTCATTTAAAATATAAATTACAAGAGAAAACTTCAGCAATGTGTGACATAATTCTGCCAGAGTTCCAGACAAAATTGTGAGTATTCCATTGTTACCTCTGAGACCAATCATATGTTCTTAGTATCTATCAACTTCCTGAAATTGTACTGTAAGTCAGAAAAAGAATATACTTAAAAAAATAGAAATGTCCAGTAGTATACCTTAGTACTAAAACTATTTTTAAAAAAGATCAAGATGGGAAAAGGCAGTCCCTCGAGATCATGAAACAAAATAAGTTAGGCAGTCAGCAAGTAGAAAAATCTGTCAATTCTGTTTCTGGTAAAATGTTTACTTCAAAGAATTTTTATATAGGCTGAGGCTAATATATTCAAGAGTATAAACACTTTTCCTTTGGATTACCTAAAATCAAACTTTTAAAGTACTATATTTCAATTGACTAAAAATATAGCCAAATCTGTCACAACACAACATAAAAGGTAATGGACAATTATAGAATACTTTAAATTAACAGTAACAAGCCATCTACATCAAACCTGTTTCCAACTAAAATCAAAACAAAAGCACAACAATCCTGTAGTGTACCAAATGTGTATTTCAATTTACTGTATGCAATCTAACAAAAATTTGGTCATAATTTACCAGATATACATAAATGATTTAAGTAGTAAAAGAAAACTCACTTTCAGGAGAACAAGTTCATATCTTGAGGAAAAGCAAAAGTACATTAAGAATGTAAAGCCAAGTCCAGTTTCTATGCAATAAGTGAACTGTAGTCTAATAAAGCAGATTTAGGTGATTTTTAGATATATATCTTTGCTCTTTAATATATATTTATATATAGACAGATCTACCAATTGTAAACTAATTTATTTTAAAGGAAGGGGATAAATGGGATGAAAGAAATCTTTATACTATACTTACATATTCACAAAGCACATTTTCTGCTTAAAATACTTTTTCATTCATAGTATCTTTACCCAACTAATTTCTACTTTGGACCTCACCAGAAATACATTTTATTTATCTGTCTAGAACATTAAGATGTACTCTTCCGTTTTAAACAAAAATCAAACCAAAACTATTATTCATCTGTCAGGTTTACAGTTACAGAGAAACTACAATAATGTATAGATGACAAAAGATGCATCTAACCATATAACTGTAATTTATCTTTGATTTCTCCAAGCAGAAACATCATTGTCTAACATCAAACCATTTATTCTACTGAAATCAGAGACAATTATAAAGCTTGTCTCTTAAAAAACATATCAACTTTGATCAGATGGAGCACCAAAAGGATCTGTCAAAGTATCTTTGAAGTTTTTTCCATACAACTAGCATAATTTAGTTACCTGATATAAAATAGGAAAATATAATCAATTTTTATTTAAAAGAAAGCTGAAAATATGATGTTCCTCAATCTTATATAATATACAATATGCTCCTGATAAATGCCATATATATTAATAACATGTGAAATGTTGCTGCGGGTTCCACGATCAGCTAACTCATTTGTCACCAGGCTAAATAAATCTGACAATTTCAACTCAATATATTCACCCTTTGTACCCTGAAGAATTTAGCTTATATAATAATAAAGCTTCAATATTCATTTGTAAGATTTTTACAGACTGTTGGATCATGGTGATTACTAGAAAGACTATTTCAAGGTGCAGTGAGTTTAGGGTCTGGAAAATAAATTAACCTAATTATCAGTCAATTTTAAAACAATCAATATCCCAGTAAGTATGAAACAAAAGAGAATGCACATTTTGTGTTAATTTTAATGATAAAAAGGGCACAGGGGTAAAAACCTGATATTTCACTTATATTGCATAACAAGCTAACCAAACTGGACATGGGGGATAAATTATAAAACAAATCATTTTACTTCTTTCTATGACTTTTCTTTCGATTAGGTCTTTCAAATAGGACTGAGGTATAGTACACTGGCAAAAATGAAAAGAGGCAAACAAGAATAGTGCCAAAGTAACAGATACCCAAAACCGAATACTATGTCAGAAAACATCATGTAGTAACCATTTATCAGATCAGAGCAGCAGAAGAAAGTCACTTCTAAATCATAATCATTTTAGTGGTATTTGTCAACTTCGCCACGGTAACTTCGAAACATCATTCTTCATTTGTGAAGTAGTAAAATTCATGTCAAAAAGGAAAGGGGGAATGGAGGAAGTCAGTTAGTTCATTCCAATAAATTACCTCTCCAGTACTTATAAACATGCCCATCAGCACAAAACTGAGAAATAATACCTAAGACTAGAAGAGACTTGGTTTAATTTATGAAGCAAATTAAAATGGAAAAATACAAGAAAATAGAACCAATGGGGCTGAAAAAGCCCCTCACTGAAAATCTGTATTAAAAAAAATAAAATTAATAAAAATAAAAATAGAAACAAAACTCTACTAGTACAAACTAGCCTGAGTGGTTTGATGGACAGAGCGATTGGGTCAACTGTCACTGTACTTCCATAACTGGATTTTCTTCATTCATGTTAAAGTAGCACATGAATGTAAGCTCTTTAAAGACAGGTACTCTATTTTCATAGGACCCAAAGAGTTACTGTATATCCTATAAATAAAAAATATTTTACTTTGATAACTGACTGAATATGTGGGGACTCTATGTAATCCAACCACATGGTTGTCTGCTGTACAGTCCTGTGCAAATATAAAAAAAAAATTTTTGCTATAAGGCTTTGACCCTACAGTTTTCACAGCAACATAACTACTATCCAGCATGTACCATATTTTGCAAGCCTTCAAGTTCAACAATCCAAATTGTCGATTCATATAATGTCCAAATGCAGCATCCTTGAGGAGTGTAGTAGGTCAGTTAATCATCCAGAGACATACAAACTTCTCCTGATTCATCCCATCGAGACGGATCATTCTGATCTTCTCCATCATCAACCAGCTCTTCATCAGCTTCTCCTGCTTCATTCTCCTCATACTCTTCATCCCGAGGGAATTCTGTATCCTGTCCCTGATCTACACCTTCTTGCCCTCCTGGTTGTGACTTATCTGCACAGTCTACACAAACACCATAGCGTCGAGATCCATGCCTTATTCCAACACTGGCTGCTAACATGAAGATCTTCTTACACACCATACACTTGTATTTTTTATCCTTTTTATGCACCTAATTGAAGGAGGGGAAAATGCAATATAAGGACAGTATAGATAATAGAGGCATTGAGTCATTCAAATGAAACCACACATTTAACCACTGTCTGTCTGTATGCAGTTCAGTTCATAAATCACACTTTACGCAAAGCAATTTAACCTTCCTTAAATTGGCAGTCACCTGTTCAAGCCCCTCTAAAGATCGCTGACACTAACGCACTTTCTCTCCAAAGTCAGCCGCACAGTTACTTACCAGGGAATGTCTTTTTACATGTTCTCTTCGAGTAAACAGCTTTCCGCAAATGTCACAGCTGAAGGATCTCACTCCCGTATGAATGAGCAAGTGCCTTTTCAGTGTTCGTCTGTATTTGGCTACGTAGCTACAGTGAGGGCATTTTAACTTGTTCATGATCAGAGATGATTCACCTATGGCAGTTGAAAGAACCAGAAAGCACGTGTTACACATTCAACAGAAAGCTTCCTATCGAAACTTCTGTGTCTCGGCCCCCGGGAAGAGCTGGTGACAGACCGCTACTCTCTGACTTTTAAAAGCTCACCATGTGAAAGCTTTTAATTAAAAGTCATTTAATTATTCTGTATTTGTTTTGTTGACTAATACTTGCCATTTTCCCAAGTTTCTTGTTTTGGCCAAGATTCCGGCAATAATCCGTACTTGAAATCATTTGAAGCACCTGGTATCAATCCATACTTGAAATCATTTGAAGTACCTGGTATCAATCCATACTTAAAATCACTCGAAGGGCCAGGCATCAAACCATACTTGAAATCATGTGAAGTACCTAATACAATAAAGTAATTTTTGAATTGGTAATTGCATTAAGTATCTATTAGAAGCAGAAAACAAAACATACTTATATCCTATAAGCATTATAATAGGATATCTTAATATAAACTAGTTAAATTACCACTCTACATTTTAGTCTAAAAGTGAGATATTGTCTTTATTTATTTATTTTTTTTTGAGTCAGAGTCTTACTCTGTCACCCAGGCTGGAGTGTAGTGGCACTATCATGGCCACTGCAGCCTTGACCTGCTGGGCTCAGGCAAACCTTCTGCTTCAGCTTCCAAGTAGTTGGGATCAGGGAATCCGCCACCAAGTCTGGCTAATTTTTAAATTTAGTGTGGAGACAATGTCTTGAACTCCTGGGCTCAGGCAAACTCTTGCCTCTGCCTCCCCACCAAGTGCTAGGATTACAGGCCTGAGCCACCACACCAAGCCTGATGTTGCCATTCTTTTTTTTTTTTTTTTGAGTTGGAGTCTCACTCTGTCGCCCAGACTGGAGTGCAGTGGCC